TGCGGTGGGAGGCCGCCGCGGCGGGGAGGCTGCGCCGGGGAGGCCGGGTCCCCGGGGGGCAGCGAGCCCCGCCAGCTATTCAGAGGCAGCAAGAGCCCATTACATCCCTTCTCCTCTTGGCTGAGGCAGCTCTGAACCTGCAGCTGAAGCTCGTGCCTGGGGTATGGGTGATGTCTTGGTGCCCCGTGCCTTGCAGGAGGGATGTTGTGGGATGGGGACCATATCCCAGTCTCGGCAAGCTGCCTGTACTTCGACTGAGCTCAGAGGTAAGAAAGAAAAGGCTATGTTGCTCTGCCGACGCCCCTCAGCCAAGGCGTTTTGTAAGCGCTGTCGTCGTGGTGCGGGTCGGGACAGTGAAGACCCATGGTGTGTCCTCTCCATGCCGCCAACAAACTGCCAGCCTGGGCCGGCCTCTTCGTGGGTCTGACACGTTTCACTCCTGGGTTTTTGGCTGTGGGATCCCCTGTGCTTGGCCGGGGCAGGGGGAAGAGTCCCGGGAAAGGGACGATTCCCAGAGCAGCCCAACCCCACCAACCCCTCCTGAAGCCCCCGCAAGCCGTAACCGTGCACAGGGAAAGCCTTTTTTGCAACCTCCCGTGCTTCACGCTCCTGCTTGGCATGAAATGGTCTGATTTAGGCTTATTTTTAGCCTAATAAAGCACAAGTTTGCCAAAAAAGCTTCTAACAGCAGAGGTTCCTGCCTCAAATTGGATATTTCTTTCCTTGGCTCTGGAAACCCCTGGTCGAGAAGGTGACAAGTGGCAGAGAGACTCGGTTTGGAGAGACACGTCTGCTCCGGCATTGTGGGGCAGCACTGTCATTCCCACGGCTGATCCATCTGCTGAAGATGGATCGTGGATGCAGCTCACAGCCCTCTGCAGTGCCTCAGACCCCCGTCAATTTAGAAAGGTGCTTTGGGAAGGCGATGGCAAAAGTTTCCCTTTGTCCCCACTCCAGAGCAGGCAGGAACAAATACCGGCTAGATTTGTTCCTTTTTAAAAACAGAAAAAGTTTTATAATTGAAATTAAAACAATAGGAGACTTTCCCTCCTCTGCTCCCCCTGGCAGCAGGGCAGCTCCCCTGGAAGAGCTGCCTGACTTTCCTACCATCGCCTGCGGCATCCCGGGGCTGTGCCGGGCCAGGGCTCCTCTTGCCAGGGCTTCACCAGGGTTTATTCCCAACGTTGTAATAAAAACCCCTTCCCTGGTGGCAGTTTGCTCAAAGCTCCTACTCCACGAAACCTGTTGGTTTTTACAAATGACCTCTTTACCACCCCCAGCACTTGCTGTGTGTTTTGGGTGATCTCCACGGGTTTCTGCTGTGTCTCCAGCTGCAGCAGCGCTGGGCTCCTGCCGCAGCGGAGCAGGAGACGCCTGTCCCGCCCCGTCCCATCCTGGTCCTGATCCTGGCTGGGTGACAGGCAGAGGGAGCGCTTCTTTTCCTCCCTTTACACTTCTGCTAGTGTAAAATAAAGTAGCCCCTCGGCTGCTTTTTAGCCTGCTGGAGCCTCACTTAATGCACTCCAAGCTGCGGTTCCCGCTGCACAATCAAGGCTTTGGTACCTGGATCTCGATGTCCCCAATATTCAGCCATCTCACGCAGACGTGGTGCTGGCCCGTGGCCTGGGGCCCGGGCGGGAGCCCGGGCAGAGCCAGGACCAGGGGCCACAGGAGCAACTCTCCCAACTCATCCCCGACACGCTGCCGCGGCCTCAAGCCCTTCCAACTTGTTCCGCAAGCCACCTCTCCGTCACCGTGCGGGGAGTTACCGTCGTCAGCCACCAGCCGCACCACCCCACGGCGAAGGCTTTTCCTCCAGCTCTGGGGCGTGGGGAAGGGGATTTGGGCACGGGGGACGCTGCCTTTCCCAGCGAAGCTAAATAATTACAGCAGTAAGCAATACCAGGAGCAGCTGCGCAGCGCAGCCTCCCCCTCCGCCGAGGCACTTACCGGGGCGTGCCATGCGCCTCCCG